CAGTACAGAAGACCGGGCATGAGGTGCACGCAAGAGACTGTCAAAGCACGAGTGCTGACTGATGGTGAATGGTTGGCGTGTTGTATCGTCACCGCTTGCGCATGCCTGGATAGTGATTGGGGTGTGAGCAGAAAGGACACCGGCTAGACTCGACGCTTGTAGTTGCTCCGGTGCATACAGCGGGGGGGGGGGGGGGGGGGAGGAGGGATTAGCCTGGCCGCATCTACCACCGGCGGGCCTTCCCCTGGAAAAACCCACTTCCGTTAGCAGTTTCTCAGACTCTCTGTGGCTTGGCGGCCTGATGGTTTGCTATGATGCAGATGACGCAGCACCCCTTGTAGTGAGCGTGGCACTATCTGCTTTCAACAGGAGTTCTCAACAGCGAGGCCCTGTTGGATTTCCTCAATGCTCCTCGCGCTCGCAGATCCCCGAACTGGAATATGGATACCTCGACGGCCACCGCCATTATTTGCAGCGTGCCCTTGCTATGAAAAAGGGTATTCTCTCTGTGAATTCACGGAGATCCGGAACCGCGACAGTAATATTGCAGGGCTAGTGGTAGGCTTCAGGAAAGCTTGCGCACGAGGTTCGAGTTCGCCTCACGGGTGATCCTGGTGGCGTCGAGGTCCATCTGTTGTATGCTTTACAGCCTGAATCAATCCGACATGCACTAAATTTCGGAATCCCAATCTCTCCAGGTTGTGATACGTGCTGATGCGCCCACTCGATGTTCCGCGTGAGGCTTACGCGTTTTGAGTGCGCAGAGACTGTCCTACCATGTATCTTCTCCAGCACACCAGCAAGATCTTGCCTGACACTTACTTAGGTGCGATTGGCGCTCCGACCATTCCAAAGCAGCGAGCACATGGAAGATGCGCCGTATCCGGCTCAGCCAAACCTGGAGTCTACAGATCTGTGGGACCCTGGGTTGCCATAGCGTGCTCATTGTTTGAGATTCCTTTGAGCTTTTTCAAACGTGGCCTGCTGAGGAAAGGCTACTTGAGTTGGACTTGGATCCGTCGAAGAGTCAAGAGTTGACTCATCGGTTCGATTTAGATCCTGGCTCACTTTGGCAGGCGGCCGGACTGCAGAGCGTTTGCAAGCATCGGCTAACCTTGACCACCTTGACCTGGAGGTTGCTGCTGTGGGTGTTGCTCAAGATGGAACAACTGGAAATCCAGTATGCATTCAAATCCGAGCACCAACTGAAGCTGATTTGGAGTGCGTGCCCAAGGCAAGACTGGACCTGCGACACGCATGATGTGGGTTGGCAACCATGGTGATATCTGCATCGCACGCACGGGTTCCAGCTACCGGTTAGGGCCAACCTGCAGCGGAAGCCCATGTGACAAAGCTCCTCGATGGAGCAGGCATTGTCGTGTGGCCGCCCACGCAATGCATAAAACCCCTGAAGTGGCTGCCAGGCACTGGAAAGCTTTCGGACAACGACGGCAGCATCAGTGAAGGCAGGTCGTGCAGGGGTCACTATGCCAAACCGTCCAGCAATTGTTTGCGAAGGCGACGAGGAGATGGAAGAAGTGGTTGAACACACCGCAGATGGGCAGGCTGCGACGGAGTCTAAACATAGGTCAGCAGCCAGTTCAGACAAGTGGTCGTTTCGATTCTAGGCCCGGTCTGATGTGGAGTGGATGTTTGTCAGCGACAGGCGGTGACGATCAGACGAAAGAGAAGTCACATTTCGCCTGCCCACAAGGAAGGGAGTGCACAGTCCTCCGCTTAGGGAGGGGGAGCTTAGTCACACGGCCAAAATCGTTATCAGCATAAGCAATCTAGTGCCGATGCCAGTAGGGAGCATAAAGCACAGTCCTATTCCGATGTGTAGTGCGGACAGCATACAAGGCCTCTCACATTCCGAACATAGATAAGTGCAGAATCGGAATCGCATTGCGAGCTGATTCTCTACCAGCAACATACCTCACATGGGATTTCTTCATCCTGACAAGACGTTCGGAAAACTCCATAACGGCCATAACGGCTGCAACAGCAAAGCCGCTGGACAACCTTGAAGAGGGTATTGTACCATGCGGCATGCGAACCCCGACAACTAGCAGTCTCTACCCCTCACTCCATAAGCAATTGACACGTGTAGACCGCAAGCCCTTGTCTCTCGTTCCAGTGACGGCACATTTTGTAAGCGGACATCATTGTGCAAATTTGCTTATGTGCTTTTTGGCCCCCCAGTGATAAATGGTGTTGGACCCGATGGCCAAATGAGTTTGAGAAGTGAGAAGTCCCAGTAGCCTTCTGCTGCTTTGACAACTGACAAAGTGTGCAGGTGATCTCGTTTCAAGGGAGCGTGGCAGTGGAGTATGTACCGCGGCCGAACTTCCAGCGCCGTAGAATGCCAATACTGTTGGGTCGGAGAAGCCAGCATTTCTCCATGCTTTGTGTGCTGCAGCCAGCTTATCGGTTCGAGAAACTCACGAGGCCAGGAAAATCGAAGAGAAGCAGCGCCTGGCAGCGGAGAAGACCCCACACCGTTGGGAAGAGCGAGATGGTCAGAGGCGATCCGTTCCCGTGGATCGCTTGGAGGCGAAGGCAAGGTTCTGTGTCTGCACACGAGAGTGGGTGAAGGCAGGTGTTAAGTAGGCGATTGAGTGTGTGGACAACGATGGCTCTCAAGTTTTATAAAAAAGACATGCTACGACGCACAGATACCTACATTTGAGTTCCTTGGTGCCTCCAAGCTCTATGGCTCTGATCCGAAGAAGCCTTTGTTTGCATGACCCTCCACAATTTTGGGTTATGAATTTATTTGGGAAGAACAACCTGCAACAGTTTTACAGCAGCATCTTGCTCCTTGCTCCGTGGCTGTATCTTCCGCAGTGGCAGGAAGTTGGAGACGTTGAGTCTAGAGTCGAGGCTGACCGCATGTGGCGAAGCCCCTGCATTGCGCACATCACCGGCAATCATAGCAATTCCAAGACCCGGCGTTGCCTGCGCACAAGAATCTGCGAAACTGTCGCACAAGCGCACTTCGCGCGAGGGTGGTTGCAGCTGCCTGCCAATGCAGTCTCACTTCGTCATGCTTCGTTTTGCAAGATCGAGCTAGCAGATAGCCTGGTCCCTTCCCAAAAACCCAAACCCACGGTGCCTCTGCCAGTCTGCTTCGGGTGCAGCTGAGCGACATCACTACGGAAACGTCGATATTCTGGACCATTCCATCCAAGCACACCAAGAGCAGCAGCTCAGACACTTGGCAAAACAACTCCACTTAAAGCACTGCGACAGATCGACCGATCTTGAGGAGAGGACGAACTGCGAGTGGCTGCGTGGATCCATGCAGTCACCGGAGATCCAGGCTGGCAATCAATAGTTCCGGAGTCAGTCCATTGTGATCAAGTCTGCACCACGCTTATCCTGACTTGTGACGCAGCCAAACATCATGCAGACCGCATGGAACCTAATCAACTTAATGCGTGTTAATGCATGGTACCAGCGAGACATGGCGAATGTGGAGGCTTGGACGTTAATGTTGAGCAACGGCTTGCATGCTGTGTGGCTGGCTCGTGACAAGTACGTACAGCTCCCCCATCCAGTTTTGAGGATCTGAAACTAAGTAAGGAGGCAGGTGGGCTTGCGAGGGCGGCATGAAGCCTCCACATGACAGCCCTGTTCCGGAGACCTCAAAGCCGTCTTGCAGGCGCAGGGATTGCATCGGATCCTTACCTGGATCGAAGAGAGAGCATACGAAGTTGAGATCATGAGAATCGCCTAGTTCTTTCACATTCTCCGATCTGAGGTTGGAAGCGGGTCATTGCAGGCCGCGGAACTGAACCTGTGCATTGATTTGTTTGCGGTTCTGATGCGATGTCCAGTTGGCTGCACAGATGCACAGGATGCCTTGCAGTCGGGCGAGGCCAAAATTTTGATTGATGCTTGTCATGATTAATGAGGCTATGGTGACTTTCGGTCAGAGCAGGTCCTTTGCGACCTGATGAATGCTATCTGGCCTGGGCGCATCGTGGGGATCGCCAGAGGTCTGGCCCTTCATCTGTGCACTCCATGACAGATCCCGACCCGGTTCGTGGCGGCTGTCTCAGGTTCCGCAGCCAACGTGCTATTCAGACGAGTGGCAAACATAACGCCTCTTGCCTTTTGAAGTCTGTGTAACTCCTGAACCTGTCCCGAAATTTGCGGCTCGCAGGCAAGTCCCAAATCTTGCGTATCGTATCGGGCTCAGGCCCTGTCTGAGGCAATTCGTCCAGGCCTGTACCAAAGAAGGCATGGCCAACAGCGTCTTCGTCCCCGGAGATCTAGCCGAGGGCAAGAACTTTAGAAGCGTCACTCGGTTCGTTTGGTAGGAGGCCTCTTTTGGAAACAGTACATTTTCAAGAGCAGGCAAGCCGAGTGAAGATCGAAGAACGTTTGCCGAGGTGCTTCGATGCCTCTGCGCGCTGGCGCACCAGGTCACATGGTCAAGAGCGGAGTTGCCGTCCGTCTCTTCCGGAATGCCGTGGACCGCTGTAGGTTCCGGACAGCTACGAGGGCCCGCGCCTGGCCCCACGGAGTTGTGAAGCCACCGGACGCAGCCGCTAGGCTTTTCTCAATGCTTACCCCCCGACCCCCACTCGCAGAACGACATAAAGGGGGTTGCACATGGGTGGTCTGCAGGCTGGCGGCTTTTGCCTAGGTTGGGATTTAGGATCTTACAAAAAGGCCTTGGAGGTGTCACAAAGGGTGTGAATCGCAAGGCAAACGACTCTCAAAAAGGTGCTGAAAGGCATCCCGACCCACAGAGAAGCTAGAGTCCAGAGGTGCCTCTCAAAGCACGAAAAGTCGTCCAGGTGAGCAGCTACTGTAATGCTGCAGGTTAGGCATGGCGGAGCTCTCCATCGTGTAGGCAATGCCGCAGCCGCGACAGCGTCAAACCAGCCACCGACAGATCAAAACGTCAGGAGACAAGAGAAGCTTTTTAGTGGCTTCAAGGGGGCACATGAGAACTCGCATCGAAACAGCCCAGTCCTAGTCCCCGAAGAATGGCCTCGTTCTGGGAAGTGGTTGGTGGAGCCGACAAAGGCGGTATACTGGTGAGAGAAGGGCAAAGCTTGAAGTCCAGCGAACTTCCAGGGAGGTTGCGACTTGCATGGAAATAGTTGCCTTCACCTGGGGTCATGACATCTGGCACGACTGCCGTCAGGTCGACTGGAGCTGTCTTGGGAGAGCTCGAGCGCGCAGGAGAACGTCTCAGATATTGCCTTCTCAAAGGCACAGGCCCAGCTGAAGGCTGGATCAGCCTTAAGGCCGGGCCAGAGCAAAGGTCATCGATATACCCGGAGCTGAGCTGTCAGATCTCGACCTGGCTCACTGTGAGCATTTCTGGCATCATCGCTTTTGTGTGCCATTCATTGATCTGCGTGCATGCTTCACATCATGCGAGCACATTTCCTCAAAGGACCCATGCCCCCTTGCAAGCAGTCGAAAAAGATCTATGTTCTCCAAAACAGCTGCAGTTCTAATCTTCGTGGCCAGGTTGCTGGAAAGGACCTAGTCCAGCCCGCATCCACGTTGGGAGGGGTTCCAGCGAGCCCAGAACCTCCAGAAGAGGAGCCATGGCTTCGTTACGGCAACAGCCTTGATCCTTCGGGGGTGGAAACCGATCCAGTAGCCTTTGGCTGGTGCACCTGCGCAGGTGCGGCACCTTGTGCCTCCGAGCAAAGCGTTTCCCGCACCAACGAGTCGATGTTTCGGAAAAGACGGGAAGATGAAGATGTTATACTTGCATGGAGGAGGTGTCAGCAAGACGGCCACTCGGTGCACGACGGCATCTTTGTTCCGTGCGTAAGGTGAATGTGTGACAACTCGTACTGTAGCTAAGTTATCGACCTTGTTTATCCTGACTTTACTGGCCCTGACTTCTCACTCCCTCACGCCGTATCGTCTTGTCGCATCGATTCCTCACCTGGCTCTGCCTACCTGTGAGTGTTGAAGAACAACTTCACGCGATAAAAACCCCTCCACCCACACACACACACTCGAACTCCAGGCAAACCCTGGTGTGAGTTCTCACGAGTGATATCAACTCCAATCAAAGTCAGAGACTCAGAGGAGGCATCAAAGAATGTAAAATGTTGTGGGAGGTCTTCAACAGGCTCGAGTTCCCTT